AACACGAGTGCAAGTTTGGGAGAACGAGAAATGCTGTGGGAACACGAGCCGCAGGCGAGTGTTTCCACAGCTTTTTCGAGTTCTCCCAAGCTTTCACGAGTTCTACAACTCGATAGAAACACGGAGAACATGTTTTCTATTTCCTTTAGAAAACACCGCGACGGAAAAGAGGAAAACAACTTGCTAACTTTGATTATCAAAATGTAAATTCTCTTTGCTCGCGCCATCGTTACGCGTAAACAGTTCGTGCTAGTTCTGCGTTTCTGTCGAGTTATAGAAACACGATTTTTAACCAATCAGCGCACGTATTTTCTCAGATCTGTTTTCTAAACGTGTTTAATATACGCGTTAGCTAAGAAGGAACGCGCCAAAACGAACAATTCTCCACAAAAAAGTTGTTTTCATAGCACTTGAACAATTCAGTTTGACTTGAAGCTAAGCAAATAGAGGAAAATCTAATGATATTAATTTTCGACGTCTTCAGAACCTAAGCTTTTATTTGAAAAGCTTTTTTCTATGACAGGTGTAAACACCATTGGAAATAAATTTGTAGCTGAACAAAAAACCCTATCCCGAAGGCTTACAATGCTCAGAGCGTTAGTCTTTCTGGACAGGGGACCCTACCTCAAAAGAATCTGGTTCGAACACAGTTTATTTCTTCCTTTATGTTATATTCTCGAGCAGCAGTATTCACTGGGTGAGAAATTCCCAGTAAATAGGAGTTTAGCCGTCTAGCTGAGTATCAGAGTTACAATGATTTGACCAACAGAGACCAGGTGGGTAAATATTAGCTACTTTAAGAAATAACTCAATAATAAATTAAAGTTTGCTTGAGCGCGTTTTTCGCCATTCGCACGTCTCTATAGCGACAAACTCAATGTAGCCAGTTTTCAAAGTCATTATTTTCCAAAAGAAAAAGTCATCAATCTTCCTGAAGTTTTAGTTTCATCGAATGTATACCTTCTAATAACTTGATGTTTTGGAACGTTTAAGCTCGACAAAGTTCCTCATTTTGTTATAAAGCTAGCACTTTTGAATTTTTAAGTTTATGCGACAGAAAAATGGCGGCCCGATAACGCTCTTGCTTAGGTCAAAAGATGAATTGTCGCACACGGCTTTGCTAACTGATCAGTTCTTTCAGCGGTAACAACAACAACAACAACAATCCTTTTCTTCGTCTTTTAGTAGAAGAAGTATTAGTTTCAAAGTATCAGAGGCTCGGAGCTCTAGAGTGATAACCTTTCGTTTCAATGGCAAAACTCAATGAAAGATGTTTCTATTACTTTACGGCCGCCATGTTGGTACCCCTCCGAGGAGCGCTAAAATGGCTTCTCTATACAAAGCTCTCATATAAATCTGGGTGAAACACTTTATCGAAAAACGCGCAAATGAAAAACCGCACGAACCTAAATCTTGGTGAGGTTATTTATACATCAATCATCAATCATATCCCAGATTCTTGACTTAATTTATTGACTGGTTATAATTTTTATTTTTCGTGGAGTGACAGTGTAAACCAGCGATTTGTTTCACTCGATTCGGCACCCTACCCCACGTGAAATATGTTATTTGTAGTGAGCGCTCTTATTCGGTCCTTGTACAAAGTTTGTAGTTAGTTAAGTTTTGAGAACGATACCTTTTTGAGGGTTTTCAGCCAGTTTAGAGTACGAATATATATTTGGAAAATTGCTTTCTCCTTTTTCTCGATTTTCTGTCAGATAAACTGCACAACTAGACAGGTAACCAGCTGTTTTTACTGCACCCAAAAGGCTCGTGCGCATTGGTCCGAATTTTCCCGCTAAAATGTGTGGACATTCTTAACTAAATTTTAATTGGTTGGTTCCCGGTGGGAGCTTCTGACCAATCACAGCTGCAGTTTTATTATGCAAATTTTAAAAGGCGCACTATGTCGCATGCGCATAACAGACCAGTCACAATTTGCCGTGTCAGTGAGGAGCCGGGAAAAACATGAGTTTTCTTTAGTCCTGTAAGCTAAATTATTTTTCCGACTCTTTTGTTTAGACATGGCGGATTTATCAAAGATGTGGCTTATTTGCCTTTTAGTGGTACGTACTTATTTTCAGATGTTTTCTTCCCATTGCTATTTTTAATTTTGCATCGCTTGATCGCCCGCCTGCACATAAGGAAGAAGCCACGTCGTAAATATTCGTTCTTCGTGGTAACTATAGAGAAACTAACTCGATGATTACCTTTTGCAGGCTATACTATACTTTTCTTCCACATTTTGTGGCCATGTTGTGCAGCTTACAGGCCAGAATTTCGATCAAACATTAGGTAAGAGTTCTAAACGGATTGAAGACATTAAGATTTAATGTTATTGTAAGTTCACTTCAAGTCGCCAGCCGCTACAGAAGCTCACTTCATTGAAATACACTTAGTAGATTTTCGTTTAAACTGTCGCTTTACTGTTTGCGATTGTATTCTTCAAGTAAGCGTCCTGTATTAATTTGATTTCTGTTGTCATCTTTTCTTTCAGCCGATAACAAAGTTGTATTCGTCAATTTTTATGCAGACTGGTAAGTTTGGAAGCCAACGTGTAGATCTATGTTTTGCATAATTTGAAGGGCTTCCCATCAGCTGAAATGCAAAACAATATTCTCAGGCCGGTTCAATGTTGTTTTGTTTTGTTTTGTTTAAAAATGTCATGAATCGGCGTGGGCAATTGATTAGTTTCTATTCAAAATTGAGTTTTTCTTCGCTTCACTAATGACTTGTTTAGCATTTAGTGTTGTATATTGTGTCAGCCTACAATGTAGCTTGTGTTGGAATCCGGCATCTTTTCAAACTGCTCGTCTAAACGTCTTTATAATTTAACTCATATCAATGAATATATATAATTTTTAAACAGCACACAGAACTGTTTATACAGCTGTCGCAGATAATTTGCAAATGTTCCCTTCTGCCACATTGTAAATAGATGCATAGAAAATACTATTTGTAAAATATCTGTAGTGTATTTTGTCTATGTTTATGTCTTCATCAGTCTTAATATGTATGATGAGACATAATTGAGGAAAAATCAACTACTTTCATTGCAAAATTCCTGGCCATAGTTGTCTGAACAACAAAAACTTTTATTTCACTCCAGGCCTCGAAATAATTTATTACAATATTGTAAATTGGGAAAAACAGTGTAGTTTTTTAAACAATAACATGTGGTACAAAATATTCTGACACTTTTGAACCTGACGTCAATGGTACAGAAATTTTGGGGTCAATTTTTGGAAAATGTGAGAATTACCGAATTTCCAAGATGTGAACCTTTCAACCAACTTCCCAGCATACTCAAATGGAAAATAAATTTTTGATATTTAAAAACTTTTCAGAAATGTGTGTATGCCTTGGGAATAGATTGTTGTCAGTTTTCCAGAAAATCTGAAGTAGAACTACATTTTTCAGAATTCCCGACAGTAAATTTCCAAATTGCACAGTAAATATTATGCTCTCAAGGTGGACGTTCATAGCTGGGGTCTTGTTTACCTTGTGTTCAACTTGTCCATGCATTGTCGTTGCAGGTGTCGGTTCAGTCAAATGTTGGCTCCGGTTTTTGATCAAGCATCTGATATTGTTCACGAAGAGTATCCAGTAAGTTTATCTCCTTTTTTCGTAGTACAAGGATGATAAGTAATATATCGTAATGGCCATGAAATTTATAGTTCCATGTTTTGCAACAGCTTCATTGACTATTTGTGCATACAAAACTAGGCTCCTAGTCTAGTATTTTGATCAATTTTCATGCCAAACTTACTTGTATAAATTTCAGAGAATTTGAAGCTTTTCCTTGTTTGAAATAGTAAACTTTTTTTTTTTATTTTAGCCACCTTTATTTTGGTAAACTTAGTTCCATCTGCATGAGCACTATTGACAAAATTCAAGTTTTAAAAATATGTTTTGTTCCATTTCTTTGTAGAATGGTGTAGTATTTGGCAGAGTAGACTGTGAATCAGAACAGGAAATTGCACAAAAATTTCATATTACCAAGTATCCAACATTGAAAGTCTGGAGGAATGCACAGGTACATAGATTGTAATAAATAAGTTATTTATTTCATAATTATTTTTTCTTTCTATCAGTAGCACATCTACATTAGATTCAAAAGTCAAATCTGATTGGTGTGCAAACACTGTTAGCTTTTGTCAGAAGCATATAACGCCTTTTGGGATTTATGCATCTGCTTTTACTGAATGATAGTTTTCATCACTCCTGTTAATTTTTCAGCCATTGTTGAGTAAGGCAATTTTCACCCTAAGGTGGCTCCATGGGGTAATCATTTATGGCATTACGCACGCAAGTGTTATGTTTTGAATGCCGTGTTTACATTCGTTTTTACACCCAGTCCTCTCAAACTTATTACATGTAATAAGCAATGATTAGAGGAGCTCAGTCACGGTATTTTGAGTTATTTTGGCCACATACAAAATTACCTTTAAATGGTAGGAAACCTGAAAATAACAGTTTAATAAGATAGAAAAACACCAAAGAGATAGTGATAAACCATGAAGGAACAAGGATGACTAAGGATGGGGAAGATTGACACAGATTAGAAATGACAAATTTGAAAAATTGAGGCTAAACTTTTCAATACGCACAAACTGCGACGTAACTCCTTTAAATAGTGTTTTGCTACATCTCTGATAAAGTTTTGGGTTTTATTCTTGAATTATAAATGCCTAGACAGATGTGTTTTTTTGCTTTTTTATGGACCATTTTATTTGTGATTTTCTTGAATTTTCTTTGGTGAAATCTTCCAAAATTTTCACAGCACATGGCATCCCGCGAGATATGAATTTTTAACTCAAAAACAGTCTACAGGGTTTGTAAAGGCAGATTTTTCGAGTTTTGCAAATTTATGTCTTTTACCACTGTGGCCTTATGTGCCTACTGGTGCCTCAAGAACTGATGATGATGACTGCTGGGAAAAAAAACTGGTCATATAGATTTCCCTGAAAAATGAGCTCTGACTAAAATGTAAAATATTTACTACCAGTCTGCCAAATTTTATGGAATTTCACTGAAGGAAACCCTAGAAAATTCACTGTCAGTTTGCTTTTTGTGCTCATGTATCTTGACGTCATAAAATATTGAAAACTCTGTTTTCCTTCGAGCACGCGCAGACTACTTGAGCTGTCGTTCCTTGCAGACTGATAAAATTTTTCTTGAGACACTGTTGTGAATCATTCTTCTAGGTTAACAGAAGGGAATACAGAGGCCAGCGGTCTGTGGATGCATTCTCAAACTACATCAGGGAACAAATGAAGAGCAAAGTCATGGAATTTCATGCATTAAGTGATATCAATGTAGATGTAAGTTTGGTACAATATAAGAACATTCAAGCAAAATATTGTTTCATTAGTCTTGCTGGTATTAAAGGCAGATAAGTAACAATGTCATTCATATTGCTGTGCAAGTGGTAAAAGACATGATTGTATGTGTAGAGTCATGACTTTTTAAACATCCCTATGTGCTGTGTGTACTTTCACAGCACCGATAAATATCCACTTTCATGTGTAGGGTTATGAGCTTATAGTATGGAGTAGTGGAGAGAGCCAACTGGGAAAATGTTTGCCTTAAAATATTGGTGGGTGTAAGTTAATTGTCCAAGAGCCAGATATTCTCCCATTTGGCCCAACCTAACTCAGTAAGTTTATACAGGTATTCACCTCAAAAATTGTAAGAATGTCTTGTTGAACTTTTTCTTGTTGAAAAAAAGAAACTTTCTGAAGTTTTCTTAGAAAATATCAAAATTCTGGCATGGCACATAGTGAGGCTTTCTACCGAACTTCTATATTTGGAGTTATTTTTCTTTATCAAGCCTCTTTTGAGAGTTATCAGACAAAGGAATTCAAGGAAATGAGCCATTTTGGGCTGAAAGCCTCAGAGTCATGATGGAAATTTAAATATATTGAAAAATTTATATACTATTGTGCCCGATTCTTTCACTGGATTGTCTCCGGGGGTCTTTTTTGACTGACCAGAGTTAAAAACCTTTGATTTTTGGTTTTACAACACTCAACTGAAAAGCACCCCAAATTAATTGAAGATTCTGTTTTCTTGTTTTATTTTTCCAGTCTTCAAAACGAAGCATCATTGGTTACCTGGAGAATAAAGACAGTGATAGTTACAAGAACTTTGAAAAGGTACATAGTACAGTCAAATGTCATGTCTCTTACTCAGTGTTTTCAAAACAAGACGGCGACCGCCAAGAGTTCCGCTGCCTACTTGATTATATATCATGGGTTACTGGTTATAGCAATCAGCTTGTGTCTAACAAGCTCGGTATTGTATCTTATCGATAAATCTTTAAGGTGGCAGAGGAACTTCAGACTCAAGGGGGAGGGGAGATGATCCAGACCCCCTAGAATGAGGGGCCTTGTGGCCCCTAACTTGTCACAGCCGCCTACTCTTCCAGCAGCAGATGCCTACTTCAAAACATTTTAAAGCCCCTGAACTTACTAATGTTATATTATCAGACAGTGTGATTATATACTTGAGCAACTTGTGAGTGGCATAATCTACATGTAGTAACTCGTAAATACCCTGTAAAGTTTTAAACTGCTTTTAATTAATTTGCAGGTGGCTGAGGAGTTCAGAGATGATTGTCATTTTCATGTAGGAGTTGGGTAGGTTACAAAAATTTAATATTTTTCAAGTGAATTTATAGTGAAAGTTTACAATATAAAAATAACTAACTACAGTCCAACCCCTATTAGTAAACCGCCACCCTCAGAGAAATGGATAGTGGCTGCTTAAAGGGGTTGGCCACTTAATAGAGGTAAAAACTATGGAAAATCCCTCATTGTGACATAGATTACTGGTCACCTAATAAGGATAGCCATTTAACAGGTGGCTGGTTAATAAGGGTTGGACTGTAGATCTTTGAGATAGTAGTTCTCAAGTTTTTATTTGTTTCTTGAAGACGATCTCAACACATTTTAAAGCACATAACAGACAGTTTAAATGTCCTACAGGTACATGTACATTATATACAGTATATATTTCAAGAAGTATGTCCTTAGACCATGTGAACTACTGTCCTCCCCCTCCCCTTCCCCTCCCTAGTAGAATTGCCATGTCATTAGTAGAGTTTTGCATATATGCATATACAATGGTAATGAGCAGATACTACTGTCAGTAATTAGTTTCAGAAGTTATTAGGAAACTGTGCGTAACTGTTAGAAGTTTTTTTTTTCTCTGAAGAACTTCTTAGCTTTATAAATTACAATTGTTGCCTGGGTTTGTTTTTGTAGGGATGCATCCCTCAAAGAAAGACAAACTGGAGAAAATATTGCCTACAGACCTCAAAATGTGAGTGGAAACTGATTCAATCTGTAATTAATACCAGTGCACATAATCTCACTGTCTCATTAAGTCTCTTATTAGCTTAGGATTCCTGGTACTTTTAGTACAGGGTATTGTTTCTCCTTTGCAGTATGCACACACTGTTGACAATTTCTGTAGTTAAATGTGCAGTTATATGTAATATTAATTTTATTGTTGTTCTTGTTGATGTTTTATTTTTTTTAATATAGCGAGGGCCAGAAGCAGACATGGTGTACATGGGAGATCTTGGCAACTATGATCTCTTGAAGACTTGGGTTTCTGACAAGTGCATTCCTCTGGTTAGAGAGATCACATTTGAGAATGCAGAAGAGCTGACTGAAGAAGGACTTCCATTTCTTCTGCTGTTTCACCATCCTGAAGATACTGCCAGCATTGAGCTTTTTAAATCAGAAGTTGCTAAACAGCTCATTCAAGAGAAAGGTAAGCCTGGAACCCCTTTTTAATCTACTGTAGGTAGGTTTTTAAAGGTTAAGTCTGCATATGAGCCAAGTAGCTCATCGGGTCAGAGCTTATCCTGGTTTCTTTAGCATGAAGCGACTAGAGGAATTTCTGCTCCCCGGGATGGGATGCTAGTCCATCCCAGGGTTACCTCCAGCATCAAATTTGCTGGTACCCATTTATACATTAGGGTGGAAAGAGGTATTGTGAGAGTAAAGTGTCTTGCCCAACACAATGTTCCCTGCCAGAGCTTGAACCCACACCACTCGATCTGGAGACGAGCACACTAACCATGAGGCCACTGCACCTCCCTATACTACTGTGGCAATGATTTTTACCCTTTAAGCCTAAGATTGTAACTTTAATAATTATTTGCCTTTTGCTGTGAAGTGATGGATGTCGCACCAGTACACAGAGTTTCTTGTTATGAACATGTAGGACCATAGTTAAGAGAAATCAAATGGTATGAGTTTTTTCTTCACCTGTTTCATTCTCTCCTCACTTCCTGCATGCTTTGTAAAAAGGTTATAAGTGGTTAATTAATGATTACAACAAGTTATCACATCTTTTTGCATTGCTTCTTTTATCATCACTGCCTAAAACCATTAGTTCTCAACAGCAGCTTTCTGCCAGCAAAATGTTTCTTCAGTCACAAAGCCACCAAGACCAAGTTATTGCCTCAATGTAGCATACATGTAGGTCTGTATGTTTGTAATTTTTTATTTTTTATTTTTTTGCAGGAAGTGTTAATTTTCTCATCGCTGATGGCCTGAAATTTTCTCATCCACTCCACCATCTAGGGAAAGGACCAGAGGTATATAGGGATTACAAAAACTCAGTTAATGATGATGATGATGATCATCATCATCATCAGCTTGAGCATTTTACCATTACTGCCGCTAAGAAGTCTTACAGTTATTAAATACTTTTGAAAAAAAATTGTAAAGCATCCATTTCCTAGTTGGAGTTCGCAATCATTGCATGCTGTGGTTCAACAAGCATAGACGTGCAAATAGATTCCACAATCATAGTTTGCTTGATGTTTGTGCAGATGTTGTGGAAAACCTGGGTCATTTACACTGAATTTGAGTAGTTTCTAGTCATACAGGTAATCTACCAAAACATGTCCTTGCAAAGATTTTAAGACACTAGATTTCAAAATAATTTCTTTAGGAGGGAGAGGCTGGTTTCATGCATTCTTGGGTAGCTGTGTGCACTCTGCCGTGGCCCCCTATTAATGTCTTGTCAGTCTACTTAAAAGTGTAGTGACAGGTCTCCATACAATGTATCCTCCACAACTGGTACCGTCCTCTTGTCAAATGACTGTTCATCATGTTATATTTTCAGGACCTTCCTCTTGTTGCCATTGACAGCTTTAAGCACATGTATCTTCTTCCAAAGTTTGATGATATCAAGTAAGTGCAAAAACTTGAAGAAACCTTTGCTGCTAGAGCAAATTGCCACTGGTACATTACACAATAGTTTTTTCAAACCTCCTGGTAACTGAAACCAAAACTTGTTCCCTCCCCTCAGTTGAACACTGTAATTTTACCCCTTGATTTCTCCAATTTCCTGATTTTTAAATCAATTTTCATTTGCCTTCAAGGTTGGAAAGTAGGTATTTACGAGATTTTTAAATTTCTTGAGTCGGTTACGAGATAAGGAAAATGTGCCAGTAGAGGGGATAAGACTTCCTTTAATGTGATTAGATGCTTGAAGGTGTAACAAGCAGCTTTTAATGATAAGAGTCATATTTCTTCCCTCAAAGACCAGCAGTCACATGGTGTAGCCTGTTGTAACCGGTTTATCACTGTGGTGACTTCTGTGCCACTAACCCTCTGTATAAGTATGTACAGTGTATGGTGGATAATCGAGTAAGGTACTAGGAAAGATTTTGTTTGTTCTAAGTGCCAATGATAATGTTTTTGTCATTTGTAGGACACCAGGAAAGCTAAGGAAGTTTGTTCAAGATTTGCACTCCGGAAAGCTTCACAGAGAGTTTCACCATGGACCAGATCCTGAACAGGAACAAGAGCAAGAGGTAGTAACATTGTCCACAATCTGTGTCAATCTTTGTTCATTCTTGGTTTATCCCTACCCTATTAAAATTTTTCTGTATCTCTCAAAAAAAAATTCAATGGATTGAGATCATGAATTCTTTCATTCTATTTAGGATCCCACTGCTGACCAGACTGATGATAACACAGGAACAGAAACAAATCAAGGTACAGAAACTGAAGCTGAGACAGGCAAGACAGGAAGAACTGGAAGCGGATCAGGCAAAAAGGAACAAACCTCACCGCCAGAGACAGTGTTCAAAAAACTTGCTCCAAGTTATAACAGATATACCTTACTCAGGGATGAATTGTAATAGAAAATGTTTAATACTTAGCTGTAAATTTAATAAGCAGTATTTTTGAAAGAAACAACAAGCACAACAAGGGCAATGGTTGTGTTGTGAACTGGCAGTAAGAAGTAAGGGGGGGTGGCAGTTGTGGAGATTTAGGGGAGGGAGGGGAGGGGTTGGAGTCGTGTTATGCCCAGGTTGTCCAAGTTTTCCCAGTATGGCCATGTTTTTCAGTAGGAAACTGTCATCTGAAATATTATTGTTAGTCTTGAAAATGTATTTTGTTACTAAAAGGATAACAATGTCAGTTCAAACAGTTTTTAGCAGCGTTTTTAGAAGAGCTAAAAATAGGTTGCCAAAAGTGGCGCAAATTATAACTGTGTATTGGTAACTGAGAAGTGAGAACTTTCAGAAATGAAATCAAAGCACCCATTATCGACTGTTATCACTTTTATCCTGGGTAATCAATAAAAACAGATTTCCAGGTTGGAATTGTGATTCAACACCATACATTATATTTATGAGCAATTAAATGGGCAAATCATTTTCATTATAAGATCTTTAGTCTTAAGTAATCTATTGACATATACTACTATGTCAAGAATCAAAATTGAAAGATATTTCTTTGATGCTTAAAGTTTTTTTATTTCTATATATACAGTTTATTGTTTAGTGGAGAGTATAATGCGAGAAATCCAGCAAATCAATTTGAGTGGTTGTCAGTTGTGTAACTTGTTGTAGAAACTGTGCTGTTGTCCCTAGAAAGTGACATTGCGCAGTATTTTATCGTTATCTAGTGGGAAACAAAGTGTATTTTGCAAAATGGCTTACTCATGGCCCTGGTTAACTTAAAAAAAAACCTTGCGGTTTTTTTGTTTTTTCTTTCCCGTTCAGATTTTTGAGACGGAGGTGTGAGTATGACTTTTCAGACCAAGTGCGCATACTCAAAACCGTCTCTTGTCACACCAGTCTCGTTTCCAAGCCCTTCACTTCTGTAAGACCAGGAAGAACGAGGGCCTTAGGAGCGAATTTGGGTTGAAATAATTCAAACGTCGCGCTCATTTTTGATTGGAAGAGAAGCCTGTCATATTTCATAAATAATGCAAACCAGCAAAAATAAACAAAGAACTTGCTTTTATGAATAAATGATTGGAACTACCAGACATATTTTGCATCTTTAACAAACGGTGCCTCTTCTATTCTTTTTAATTATTCATCTAGGTTTTATGCCTTGTTGTGTACTATTTTGTTAAGTGTGAGTTATTTATAAAATGACAAGAAATCTTGTCTGAAACCAAGCCTCTTTTGATCTAATAACATAATTTCCTATACCTGGGAGAAGACAATGAGATCTTCCCTAAACAAAACCAGTTATTCTTTGAACTAATAGTAAGTTAAAGTGACCTCTGACATAAATCTGAAAATCAGTGTTCTTTTGAGCTAATAAAATATCCTCTGATACCATAATGGTGAATCCAGTTCATTTTGCATGGAGTACTGACACTACATGTTCTGGAAAAAATTAGACGTTAGATTATATTTTCTTGCCACAAAACTTATTTCTGTGTATGTGAACTATTTGTCGATAGATCGAAAGTAGCCCTTCGTTGGTTTGGTCGAAAGTCGTCACGCAACGTACTTTGAACAACTGGGCGCGAGAAAAACATTTCATGGATTCTGCCTGATGCATTAGGCCAAGACAGGTGTTTGAATTCTTGTGATTGGTTGTAAGATCAGGTAGGGAAACTTCAAACACGCTTATCCTGTCAGCAAGACAAGAAAAGAAAGAAAACTTATTTCCACAAAGGAAAACTATTTACTATTGTAATAAAGCGAGTTTTTAAGGTCAATCGCAGGATGTAGAAAAAAAAAATAAACATCAGTTCCGACATTCAGTTTGAAATCGCACAAAGTTACATTCAACCTCGTTCCCAGGTCTACCTTCCTCCCGCCTCCTGGAGCAAGAGAAAGACCCTGGGAACGAGGTTGATGTCACAGTTCGAAGAGAACAGATAGCGATCCTCAGCAAGTCACATTTCTTTTGTCTCGTCGTGATACTCATTGCTGACTCTCATGACGGCCTCATACCATAGGCCTCCACTGATGGTAAACGTGCGAAGTGGTGGTGGAGTGTTGTACTTGAAGACATGAGGCTGATCGGGCTCGCACCAACACCTTTTGAAACGATCGTATTTCTTGATATCTCCCCAAAAGGGACGCTTCACTTGAAATTTCACCTCAAGTCGCGTTGCGTTGCCTGGAACAGTGACAGACTTTCCGCTCCCACGAACTTCTTGTGTGTTTCTTTTGCCTTTTAGGAAATAGCTGACAACCATGTTGGAGATCCAAGCACCCTCAGATATATATTTCACTTTGCAGTCTTCTGGTTCATCACTGACATTTGATTGTACGGGGACGACATCTTCATGATCAACAACTGTGCTATGCCTGACAGTTTCATCGTCGGATTGGTCACGGACGCCATCTTCTTCAAAGATTGTGCTAAGCGTGGCTCCTTGATCTTCCTCCGGGACAAGTGGCTGGTAGGAAAACGAGTATTTGCTATCGTTTCTCCAGTTGATCCGATGCTCGTTGTTTTCTTCAGATAACTCCCGTCTGACTCTTCCACGAGTGATATGTTCGTTTTCACAGTCCACACGGGGTCCGATCACGCTCGTATCATCATCAACTGAAGGAGTGATGAGCTGCTGAGAGTGCTCCTTCTTTACCCGCTTGTCAACTTTGAATTCGCTCCACGCATGCGATGCAATAGCACTACCGCTTTCTTGAACAAGACCTTTCACGCTGCTAACAGCCACATTCTGGACTCCGTCCACCAAGTGCTTCCCGGGGCTTCGATTTTCCACAGAATCGTCGAGTCGTTCCTCAGTAAACTGAGTGACAGAACCCATGACCGCCTCCGTTCCGTTTTCGGTTAACGCGCGAGGAATTCTTTGGGCGAGAATTTTGCCAAGACGTCTTGCTCCAGTGAGTATAGCAACCTGTTCCCCAATTTCTCCCTCGAGGTTTGCAGTGGCTGCAGATGCTTCAATGCCAACAACGGACTTGGTTACAGCACCTCCAGTTGCTCCTGCAGCAGCACCCACAGCAGCCCCTAATACCGCATGACCAAGGACCTGCTTCCATGTAACATTCTCTCCATCCGCAAACTTCCTGCCAGCATCTGTGGCAAGGGATGATGCAGCTCCACCCACAGCGCCACTTCCGGCTCCAATTCCTACGTACTGCCCCATTGTGAGAGCAGCAGACTCCATGGCGGCGCCTCCGAGGCCCGCTACTCCTGCTGTGATGCCTACAGCCGCACCTCCGGTTGCAGCTCCACCCACAAACCCGATCCCTGCTTTGATCAGCCATTGCTTTTTGTCACACTCATCAACAACGGACTTTCTGCTCACAGTGTGTTGTAAGGACTGCAGTCCAGCTCCAATTAATCCACCTCCAAGCACCCCTCCAGTGGCTACTAATGCTGGTGTCGCTAATCCACCTGTGCAGACAGTTAGGGCAATGCCTCCAATTACAATTCCAAGTGACAAAGCAAACATAATCATTCTATGCTTGCGGGATTTCTTTTGCTCCTCTGTGACGCATTCGGGCCAAAAAATTGCTTTGAAGCGTTTTAGTGACAACCAGCCATTGTCGTAGTCAGCCTCATTGTGGTAACGTGCTCTCTTTTCTTCATCCTTGAGAATTTCATGTGCTATTATTATCTCCTTTGCATTCTCATCATCGCCAAAATTTTTATCGGGATGCCAGCGCTGTATTTCTCTCTGGAACCCCCTCTTGATGGCTTTGATTTGGTCTTGCTTTGGCATTTTTCGAACTTGCTTCATGTCTAAACCCAAAATCTCATACAGATTTCGTCTACCGCTGGTACTTTTCAGTTCTTTGTCTCGTTGTACTTTTCGTAAACATATTGTTTTCTCTTCTGGGAAATCTTCCAGCCTTCCCTCAGAGATATCAAGTGACTTAGTGATCTTGAGTAATTTGTCTTCAGTCCACTCCTCAAGTTCTTGGAGGGTCTGCTTTGATCGACGGCCATCTTCAAACTTAATAGCCTCGAGCTTGAACTTGAAACCCTTACTGCTGCGATGAAGGTACTTCCCGCCGTTTGGTTTGATTATTTTTGACTCGAAGGAAAGCCAGCAAATGAAATCCCATGTGGGATAAAGGTAGAGAGTGACCTGTGCATTGCTTGATTCGTTTACGATTAACAATGATTTATACCTTTCTCCAGCTATATCTGACATGTCACTTGCTGCAATAGAAAAACAAATAGAGTTGCATTATTGTAATTCCACGAAAATCAACAGAGCATTCCAAGATGATTCCAATAATAATTCCCTCGGTCTTTTTTCCCTTAATCAAGATCTTAATTAATGTTTATCCATCTTTAACCAACCTAGGTTATCAGTTTATCATCAGGATGTCTGCCGCAATGTTGCAAATTAAAATATGGACGCGAACAGCTCAGTCAGTGGGAGCGAGCTAGAGCTCGAGGAAATGGAGCTTTTCCACTTCACTTCATCTGTCAGTCTTCGGGATAAACAGATAATACGATATCGCTCTTTAACAAATGTCTTCGATCTCACTGGGTTTACAGCGACAAGAAATCAGTCCAGCAAATTAAGGTAGTTTGCCTGTTTCCTTTACTTTTGCGTACGATCTCATTGCATTCCGACACTGATGCAAATAAAGCCAAGGGGCGGCTTAAATATTCTGCACAGACGTAACTGCTGTATGTGAGTCAAGAAACCTGTTTGTCAAGCTGATTCTACTTGGCGGTGCATTTACGACAGACTGACTAGAATAATCAAGACGAAGTTGCTACTGAACTGCTATTCTGTGCATGCTGGCCAAGAATTGCCATGCGAACGTCTGGGGGCGAGAAGCTAGGATTTGATTTACATGTACATAGGAAGTTGCGTTTGAGTTCACCGTGACAACGTTGGTATTCATCCCTTCACAGATACATAATTATAGACTGACATCTTTGTTTAGTGTATATAGGTAATTTATATCAGGGTGGACAGAGAGGCCCTGCTAGAAGCAAAAGCACCTGATATCGAAGCCAAGACGACTAATTCGCTTTGAAATTGGACAATTTCCTACGTACTCTGTAACCGATAGTGACGGCGTCTCCTGGGGGGGTACTCCCAGAAAAATCGGGTGGGGGTGTGCGGCCCGCTTCCCAAAACCCTTATCCTATTTATGACCAAAATCTGCGATATTCCCTACCCTATTTATGACCTGACCAAAAATTCAAAACCCTATTTATGACCTAAGCCTTAAATCAAAACCCTGTTTCAGACCTGCGTTATAATAAGTTCCCTAGTTCAGACCAATGTTAAATTACCGTAAACGTAATTTGTGAAGGGCTTTTGTTGATTTTCTTTTCGATAATGACGAAAAAGTGGCTTCTTTTTAAAAACATACCCATATCAAGGCTGGGGTGCAAAAACCATACCCTATTTATGACCAAAATGGCCAAAATCAGCGAAAATCGATACCCTATTTATGACCAAAACAGCTGAAAAACCATACCCTTTGGGGCCGCACATACCTATAGCCCATATGGGGAGAACCCCCTCCCCCCCGGGCGGCGTCTATGCCGGCCTACTGTATAAACAGTGGGAGTTTCTGATATTACCGACAGTTTTTACGTTCAAATTAGCTATAACTGGAAAGAGTTTTCCTCCGATCTCCCACATGTGAGAGACTTCTTGTGGAGAGAGCTACCAGAGGCGAGCGATGTATATATATATATATAAAAAAACGTCTGCCCACAACTCATTCGCAGAAATAAGCAATGTTCAAAAGCAACACCTTACCTTAGCTTGATCTCTTCAAAGTTTTCTCTCCCGTAAACTTTCTATTATGAAGTAAGTTCCTTTGAGTAACACTTGTATAATTCTTGATTACGAGTTAATCAGAATAATCGCAGAACCGTAAGATTGGGAATCCTTTATTTTGAATTGACTATACATTAATTCCCTAGGAAATTAATGTGTTTGATCCATGACACGTGATACGTTCTCCTCCAATCGGAAAACTTGTTTGAGTTGGCTAGCTCAAGTGATGATTCTTTTGGTACAAAGTCGATTTATTTACTTCCAACAGAAAAATGGGATTAAATCGAAATCACATGACAGATGACTGCTGCGCTTCTTCTGAATTTTCTGATAGTTGAACAGAATTTTTTTTAATCTTCGTTCCTCCTGATAATGGATATGAGGATGTAAATCAAAGAAGATTTGGTACGTGATGACAAAATCTACAAGTGTTTTTCTGTGGACTGGTTCAACTCTGTTTCATGTACGTTGGATCAAAGACAGGAATCAAACTAGTCAAATGATAAAATAAATTGATGTAGCAGAGACCGATACAATATATCGATTTCTTCGAAGTCTTGAGCAATCGATTGGTGCAGGGCAAACCAACATTCTTTTCCTTTGGTTCTTTAGGTGCAAAAAGGATCGCGGCCTTTAGAGCTGGGGATAAACTATAGGAACGAGAATGCTGGTCGCGCTTAAAGGTCTCAATCAAGGCATTTTGAGTTATTTTGGCCAAGTAGATATCTTAATAGCTCAAATTAATATAACGTGGATCCCGCATGCGCAATGGCAAGGTCGCGCGTGGCGAGTAAGGTTCCTCTTTGTGTCTTCACGCTAGCCTCACGTTTTCAGAATCCCGGGGATCCCGGGGGATCCCGGCTCTTTGGCGCACGAGAAAATGATGCTTTTAACTGGTAAAGAAGCGCAATACAACACAGTTGAGTTATGAAGATCTTAATCCGTTTCCGTCCAAATTTCAGCCGTTAAGAAAATGCGGCATATGTAGTAAACTTACAGGAACTTGCATCTAATCACGGCGATATTTCGATGCGATGAGTGTGATAATCAACCGAGTACCATCGTTTGTACATGAAATGCCGCTCCTACAACACCAACTATAATTATAGACACTAGAGCCTGTTCGCAAGCTATGGGTAACTCTATCCACCCGAAAAATCACTAACCCTGACTGAATAGTCGGATTTACCCAATGGATAACTTTATCTCCCTTTTGAACTACCTGACCAGATATATAGCTAGGGGTTGTTCAAAACTAAGTCATTTTTTATACCTTACACAATTACACTTTGTGGTTGAAGTTAAGTAAATTTAAGAAAATAAACAACAACAAAAGGTTTTTTTCCCTTAGAGTATATTATTTTATTTATTGAGCATTGCTGAAGTGAATTATTTCTGTCGTCATTGTTAATATCAGGATTCCGGACTTCGGATTCCGGATTCCGCCAGGATTCCGGTTCCGTATTCCATATTTTTTTCTTAATCTGTGGTTCACATGTACAACTTTATGTAAGTGTAACCCGTTGATCACTCCCTTAATAGTTTCAACGTTCTTATATACTAGTTTTTAACCAAACTAAATCAATATATTTGGGATTCTATCAATAAAAATGCATCTCACTAAAGGTTTTGACTTTTCAAGGCATTGAGATATATCAGGAGCCATAATCGGGGACGGAGACCGTAAGCGCGCGCCATTTCTAGTACTGGGGTTGTCCCCATGATATGGGACAATTTTTCTATTTTCAGAACAAATTGTGCCATCATGTGCGGTACACGCGCGTACACGCTGCGAGGATTTTTGCGGATGTACCGCAGGGAAATGGCGTCCAAAATTCCCGAAATGTTTTGACACTTTTGTCACACAACTCAATACGTTCATATCTGTTGGAATTTTCACTTCAGTATTTTCGTCGTAAGCTGCTCCAGTTTGAGTGAAGTACGGACAGTGTCGAATTTAGTATTGTCCCGCTTTATATCACTGACCAAGTTATGTTCCGCTGCTTCTTTTACAAGAGCCCCACATTACTCCACTCTACTGAAGTTTCACACATGTTGAACATTAACGGCTTTTCTATAACACAACAAAAAACTAGTTGGATATAGCAGCGTTTCAGGACTTCAAAATTTCCTTCCTCTTGCCACACGCTTGCGAGGATTTCGCCAGTCGATCACGACCGAAAAGTAAAAAAACATAATTGCAAGTTTGAGTTTCGCCTGAATTGTAAGCAACGCTTGATGTTTTATCAAGGCCCAATAAGTGACAATACGTTTATGTCTGTAGATGCTGCTCAGTTTTGTTTGTGTAAAAATCCAACAAATTGTCTGTTGTCGATGAATAAGAGCGCCCGCCGATGTGTGTTTTGNAAGGCTTTAGGAGTTAGGTAATCTTTTGGCATCTCTTTATTTATTTATTTATTTATTTTATTTTATTTTATTTATTTATTTATTTCTTTATTTTTTTACTTTCTTGACCAAACAATGAGTTGAATTCAAATAAAATATCTCTCAGCAAACAAGGATGGCAATAGTGGTCTCATACCGGTAGAGAGATCCAATATATCACAAATTAGTCAAGGATAAAAACAAGGATTCTGATTGGGTTTCCTAAGCGGTCAGAATTTCGCAATACGAACCGCTAAGATAGACTTTTCGTCGAATTGCTTTTTCTAAACGACACATAAAAAGAAAACAGGTCGTCCAGTAGAAATCTTTTTCCTTACATCGCAATTGGCGGACAACTTGAGTTTACTTTCCCAAAGGTGAACTGAAATAACGTAAATAAGTGTTTTAACTTTTGGGCGCGCGTTTTCTGAGAGAGGACCGCGGGGACACGAAGAGTTTTAAAAGAGCCTTTACAACGTCAAAATGTGGCAAGATCTATCTCCTCGTGTGCCAATTTTTTGTTCTTACCACATTTTCACGTCATCTGTGATCTATTACGGCAACATAGAATCTTTAACGTCGAGATATTACTCGGAGCGTCACGCAAAACTTCTAACTTCTGCGTGACGGCCCAAATAAGAATTGCATCGGGGATGATATACATACAGCAGCTCTGTCACGCCTTCCAAATGCTCCATGCTTGGGAAGGAAGAAGTGAAGCCAGCTTCCGACAAGTCCTGCCCAGAACTTCTGCCATGATGACACCTAAAGCAAAACAAGCCCAGAAGCTTAACATGCACGCTTCAAAAGTCGCCCAGCCTCAACCAAACACACCCAGTTGACCAACACCCTCAAAACACACGACAAATTTACAGTGTGACAGGGAAAAAAATTCACAATCCAGTCAGTCTCAAACAAATAATAACAGTTCATTTTAACAAGGGAACAACAACAACAAAAACAACAAACAGTGGCAGCATGTAAGTTGGTTGTCGCTTGTGGCAAATCCTACTACTTGTCCTAAAACCTACCGTCATTTTTTTGCCTTCCTTCAGACATTTCTTCCTTTTGATGAAACCTNAAGCTGACAGCCTTTCTATGTCCTGGAACAAACTTTGTGGATGAATTCCCTGGTACATCTAAAAAGAGAGAAAAATAGATGTTTGCAACAGAAGTATCCGCTGTATTATTAGAACGATCAAACTCTATGTAAGATTTCACGAAAATTGGGGAGAGGGGTGGGTTGAGGGGAGGAGCATGTGGACCAAACTTCTAGCAATTTAGTTCTAACTACTGTCGGCAAAGGCACGGCCTTTCAAGCTTGAACGGGAGAGGGAACTCTAGCCAGAATTAATCCTTATAGGCTATCCACAACAGTACGAAACAACACTACGAAAACAGCGATAAAATTCCTACCTTTATCTTTGTGTTGCAATTCTAATTTAGTGTGTGTCAGTCCAATATAATTCACAATTCCATAGTTAAGGAAAATAACATTTTAAGACTCACCACTTATACTCTCTCTTGACCTGGAAGTAGCTTTGTTATTCAGGTTAGAGCTGCTGGGCTTGGGCTCGATCTGAAGAGATAACCTAAAAAGAGAAAACAGAAATCTACTTTGAGTTTGTAGTTACAACAGCACTGTAATAGTAAGTTACACGTGAAAAGAGTTGGTAGCTTTAAAAAGCGTCTGCATCAATCAGTTCATCTGAAAATGGTTACGTTCAAATGTTTGAGCACAGTGACATATGAATTTTATCAGTTGGACTTAGGTTTATGTAAGTAGAACTCACTGTGTGCTAGTCAAGCAGCTTTTCTCAATGATCAAATATACTCTACCTATTTCATTAATTAAGAAGTACAGCCTGAAGAAAATGTATTTCTTGCCCATCAGGCAAGTTACATTGATTTCTAGCTCAACAACAGAATTCAGGACTTTCTTTGCAAGCAAGAAGTTTGTTGCATGATGACCTGTTACTTCATAATTCTAATGATATCACCAAAACCTAAGTTTAATATTGAATAAATTTCAGAAACCTAACCGTGAAAAGCTGGCCAAATTACACAGGGTTAACTTATACATGTACCTTAGGCTTCACGACTAAATATTTGTTTGCATGCACTGTACATGTACTTTACATGTACTCCCAATGTACTTTAAGCTCGGCACACACGAGGGGACTAGTCCCTACAACTAAGTCGCGGTGCGACTCCCATCGTGTGAACTGGCCCTTTTTGCTTCAAAATCTAATCGCAAGGACCAAAGTTTGGTCCCTGCAACTAGTCTCACGAATTCAAACCAGTTTGAATTTTTGGGACAAGGCCCTAAGACTTGTTTCTCAAAACGTTTTGTGTGAACTTTTCGTGGGACAAGTCCCTGCAACCAGTCCCTACGTGTAAACTCTGCAGGGGACTAGTTGCAGGGACTAGTTGCAGGGACTAGTTGCAGGGACTAGTTGCAGGGACTAGTTGCAGGGACTAGTTGTTGTTGTTGTTGTTGTTGTTGTTGTGTGTGCTGACCTTTAAGTCCTATTGAAACGACAATAGTAACTATCAACATGTTTCTCAGCAATCAGTTCTTACTTGTAGTTGTCATCTTCCATAAACTTCTGCAGTTCTTCGATATAATTAACAGAACTTAAATAGCTTTGTATGTGGGCTGCAGGTTCAAGATTTTCTAAGAAAAAAGAGTCAGGAAATTTAACACTTGCATGTATGTGAGCACTATGAAATAATCTATAAAGTCACACAGTGTTTACACACATTTAATTCCATAAGACAATTCCATTAGAGTAAAGTTAGCAACATCTGGCCTTCAATAGTTAAATCAATCAGGGAAGATTCTAAAATTTTCTTTCTTTATCAGTGACTTTGGTAGAATGAATATTTATTTGTACAAGACCTTACCATACTTTGACTGTTGGAATTCTGAGATCAACCTGATGATGTCATTCATCTGAAAGTCAAATACACGCTGTTTACTAAAAGAATGTTTCCATAGCAGTCCCCAGTCCTACACGTAATTAACAATAGCTGTTATTGCAGTTATCAGCGGCTTGACACACAAATGAGGCGAATGGGTCAATTCTGCATTGTATCAATAGACCTTTTCGCCTCTTTTGCATGCCTTTTAAAACAAAAGAATATTTGACTGCAGACTCAACTCCAGTAACAGCTATTGCAGCACAAAAAGGAGAATGTTGCCTGGACATCCAGGAGTTTCCATTGTTGACAGCCAGCTCCCAGATGGAGACTGTACCCATTGCTGGCAAATCCTGGCAACCCAGCCAAGAGCTCCCATACAAAAGGGAAAAAACAGGCTTCAATCACACTGATAAAACAGTTGAACGAGAGGGAAGGAAGGGGGTGAGAGCCTATTAGAAGTACTTCCTACTCAAGAAAATACTCACTCCAAGCAAAATGCAAAAGTCACTTTAAGGTACATGTAAGGCTGGCATTCAATCTTTACTGCCTTAAATTGCATTTAACTGCATTTAAACTAAAATTGTTTTTCTAGCCAGCTAAGTTCATGATAATTCAACAACCAGGGCAATGCGATCTTATGACCGTACAATGGACACTAAAGGGGGCCAGGAATAGATGGTGTGGAGCATAATGGATCATATCAACCCTTGGAGATACAGGGGCCTGGCTGCAATTTGCAGATAGATGCAAGTCTCCATCCTGTTCACTCAAAACTACACACTTTCACACTTTATTTCAATTGCATTTAGAAGTTAATACAAGTGCAAAACTGATCCGCTGGTAGCATTAGGTTAATCTACAGCAGGCGGATCAGTTTGTATCAGATTATCCATAGTCTGAATTAATTTCTACCTTCATTATCACTAGCTATGTACCTTGCGAGTTCTAGCATCATCTAGACCTCCAGTGTTGGGATGAACAGTGTCTATGTAAGTTAAATCTGTCAGGTACATGCCTGTTGCAAAAAAAAAAAAAAAAAAAAAT